GTGTGTTACTTCTGAAAGCATGGTTTGACAGGCATCGCTGTAGCGTTTGAAAAAAGTCTTTTCAAACAGAACCATAGGAAAGCAGACTACAAAAAAAGAAAAACAAAACAAAACAAACACACACACACAAAAAAAAAGCCAAACGAGAGCAAGTATTTTTGTACCAAACCTCCTAAATAGGACAATCTTACACTGGGTCGGACCACAGGTTTTGTGCTTGACTTTCGAACGCGTGTAATTAAGAGTGTCTATGCGCGTCCCTCCCCTCCCGCCCCGTCAGCTGCATGTCGAAGGCGTTGATGTTCACGAGCGTGCGGATGTCGAGACGCACGATTCGGGTTTGTCGGAATCGTGCTCCGGCTGTGTTGGCAAGACGACGTCTGCGGACACTTACAGTATTACCGTTTTCTTCCCAGTTGTACCAAACGACAACCAGGCAGGACAATCAGAAACTTTCTTATGGTGGTTATTTTTTTTTTTTTTTTTTTAATTTACCTTAGGGCTAACGTTAATAGCTTGCTGTGCAAAGCTTCGGCACGGTACAACGGCTCGGATCAGGGACGGGCAGAGACAGCCCGCACATGTAGCAAGGTGACAATTTGCCTCCTCCTCCTGCCGTGACTGCTTGACGTTGTTACGGGCAATGTAAACTGCTGTATGAGAAAAAAAAAAAACAAAACCAAAACAAAAAAAAAACACAAAAAACCACCCCAAACAAAACAACAAGGCCTCGGTTCACCAGCTTACTCGAGGTTGGGCGCGAGCCCCGAGCGAGCCGAGGGGCTCAGGCACGTGCCCACCGTTACGCCAAAGCGCTGGGCTGAACTGGGGTTTGAGTGAGAAGGTTTTGGCCGGTCTGGCGGCTCGCTGTGTGTCATTTCCCCGTTTCCACGCGCAAAGACAAGAAGGGAGGCTGCTAACACCCTCGTGGGGCAGCATCTGTAACCTTTACGGAGATAGCGTACCAGCAAAGAGACCGCCTGACATCCTAGAATTTCTTCCTCCTTCCTCCAGGAGGGATTTGGGAAAGGAAAGAGCAAAGCAAAGCAAAACCTCAAAACGGATTTCAGTTTCTTGCAAAAGGAGGTGCAAAACTTCTCCTTTCGCTGCCTTTCCCCACCCCCGTGGCCTTGTTAAAAACATCATTTTTCTTTTTTTTTTTCCTTCCTCCTTCCTTTTATTCCGTGGGTGGGCCACAAAAAGAGGGCTGAGATTTCGGCTGCCGGAGCCCGGGTGGGGCTGGGGGGGGTGTGAGATGGTGCGATGGGAAACTGTCCCGTTAGGGGTCTTCTGTAAAAAGCGGGGTTGATAAAGGCGACGTGAGAAGAAATAAATTCCAAGACAAACCCTCTGAGCAGCTCTCCAAGGAACGACACCAGCGTTTCCAAGCGACAGACTAACTCTTTTAGCAAACTATTTCCTGTACTTTGTCTTGTGGAGAGGAGAGAAGCTTCCACATTGTCTACTCCGCTTTTGGAAATATGTTTAAAGGTACTTTTCTATTGTAATTTTTTAAAAATAAAACCAGTGATTATTATAAGTTACGCGCAGAGCGTCATCGTGTGCTGTGTATCTGGTTAGGGACAGGGGGAAGGATTCTAACACACGCCCTTCGGGGCCTCGGGGACAGCAGCCTCCTTCCTCCCTCGGGGTATTTGAAGGCAACGCTTCCGAGGGACGTGATTTTTCAGGGCAGACACTTGATTTTTCAGGGTAGATACCGTCGTCCGGCTTGGCTTGCTTGGATCTCTAGGAAAGCTCCAAAATCCAGGCTGGAAGGATCAGCAGGCTTTAAAGAAACGACTCCAAGTTTACAAAGATGTTATCGGTTAGTTTTTAAACCTACTAATCTTGGCACTGAGCACAGGAGCTAAGCCGCGATTTTTCCATGAGCTCAGCCACAGCAGAGGCAAACGTAACCTAGAGACGAAGGGCCAGATTATTTTTATTTTTTTTTTTTTTAACACGCCGAGAATCTTGAAAAACTCGGTTCGTAAGCCCAACCTAGAAATTCCTCCTCCCTCCTCCGCTCCGCCCCCACCCCGATAAATGTGACCAGCGTCCCCCGGAGCCTCAGCCAACAAGCCAGTCTCCGAAAACAAAGCACCGGGAGCGCACACGGAGAATGGCGCGTAAAAGGACGCTATTAAAGCGGGCTACAAACTGCTGAGGGAGGAAGAAAAACGCGCAGCGGTGTTACTCAAACCCCCCCCCGGCTGGCAGGGATGAGCCGGGGAGTTAAGCCCTTAATGTCGGACGCTAATCCCACTGCGGCCACCGCAAGTCACAGCTTTCTTTCCGAGATGCGTTCAGGGGGAGAGGTTTGCTGGCAGGCGCGGGGTGGGAAGGGAAGGGAAGCGAGCGACAAGCTGCGAGCGCGAGGCGAACACATTGCTCAGCCTAACTGCTATTCGGAGCGGCAGTAAGCGGCCGACGCCGCTGTCCCAGGCATCCCTTTAGCCAGACGACGCAGATGCTTTCGGGAGCGGATTCAACAGCAAACATCCTCCAGCTAAGAAAGCAATGAAAGACGCACGCATCCTCCCGCTCTTCGCCTGGGCACAGCATCTGCTCTGAGATCTGCCCTGCGAAAGGAAGAGGGGCCGTGCTGAAAATATTTAACCTCTTGAACCATTTTTTATTTTTTTTTTTAAATTTCCCCTCTAAGCCAAAGCGTTTCGGTTCCGTGCTGATCGGCGTTGCCCTCGTCGGCGAGGGGCGGGAGCGACAAGCTGTTTGCCCGGCTCCAGCGTCCCCTTTGCCCGTGGTGACCTTTCCCCATGCGGCCGGGGGAACATTCCTTCCCCGTGACCGTCGGGGCGCTTACAGGAAG